TTTTATCACCAAGGTCATATTTTCCAATTACTGACTCTTCCTGTTTGTTTCCACCCTTTGCATTCCAATTGCAAGTAATTATCAGTACATCTTGATTGCATGTTTGTTCAATTTCAGACTGAAGAGGTTGGCAGAATTCTTCATTTTCATCATTGCTGACTTTAGTGGTTGGCATATAAAGTTGAATAATAGTGGTATTAATTTGTCTTCCTTATAAGTATATGGCTATTATCCTATCATAGACAGTATTATATTTTAAGATACATCTTGGAATGTTCTTTGTGATGCCATTCTTCTTCAATTTTCATTCCCAGCATAATAAGCCATATGATTGTCTGGTGCAGAATGGCCAATACTAGGCCTTTTCAGCTCCCTAATGCCTAGGCTATTGGTCTTTATGTGCTCCATTTCATTTTTGACAGTTTATCATTTTTTTAGGTTCATATTTCTTACATTCCTTGTTTTGATTATTAACGGATGTTTATACCTGTTTCTCCTTATTTTGAGTTGTGCCCCATCAGCAAGTGAAGGTGGCCTGAAATTTTTACTCCATTCTTGTCATCTTTGTCAACAATACTCTGAGGAGGCAGCTCTTCTGCAGGTATATTTTGACTGTCTTCTAATCTGTGGGGCTCGTCTTCTGACACTATAGCTGACAACATTCTGATGCTGTTCATAATGTTTCAACATTCTGTATTTTAGTGTGAATCTTTACAGGAGCAGAAAACCTCATCTTTTTCCCACAGAGTGGCTGGTGGATTTGAACTTCCAACCTTGAGCTTAGCAGTCCACTGTTTATCCTCCAGCACCATTCCAGGGCTCTTGCATAGTACTTTAGTATCTTTTTACATTTGATTCCGTGAGATGTATATATGAATACAATTTAAATATTCACACTGAGGATTTTCAGGTAACTGTTCTTCAAGATTGATATTGACAGCTTTCACAAAATTATAAAATGCAGCAAAATAAACTTTAAAAGAGACTAATGAAAATCTCTATATTTGAATTATTTACAAGTACTTGATTTAGGAGATCCATGTTAGGCAACTTTATGCCAAAGAAAATCTGAAAGTTTCAGTTGTCTTTAAATGAATGCTGTTGTTGTTAAGTGCCATCGAGTCAGTTCCGACCCATAGCGACCCTGTACAGGGTTTCCGAGGGTGTAAATCTTTACGGGAGTAGAAAGTCTCATCTTTCTCCCGCGGAGCAGCTGGTAGTTTCGAACCGCTGACCTTAAGGTTCGCAGTCCGATTTGTAACCACTACACTATAGGCTTCACTAAACAATTATATATAAATAGCTACAGAGCTTTGTTGTGTTGTTGTGTGCTGTCAAATAGGTTCCAACTCATAACATCCCTCTCTCGGGTTTCCAAGAGCGGCTGATGTGTTTGAACTACCGACCTTGTGGTTACCAGTCCAGTGTTTATCCTACCACACCGCAGCACGGCTTAGTGTCTATTAAGATATCAGCCCTGTACTGCTGACCACAAGGTTGGTGATTCAAGCCCCCTAGCCGCTTCTTGGAAATCTTACACAGGGTTGCTGGACAGAACTGCCTCAACGGCACTTAACAGCTACAAATCTATTACTAAATTATGTTGACTGTTTACCTGTGTCCACCTTATTTCTTTGCTTCTTTTGTCTTTGATGAGCTAGTCAAAGACATCGATCTCTCTTACCTGACAGCATCAGCTTCTTACTGGGACTCCTGCTCCTTTACGCCCCCCATTATAATATGTCTTCCACATGTAGTCACCGTTACTGTAGAGCAATTCACCTGATCATATTCACAAGTAAATGAACAGTACGTGAGTCTCAGTACTTTCCTCTGAGGAATGGGACTTATCACCATAATATTCGATCTCTACCTACGTTTCTTCATTTGTTCAGGTACAGTTAAGATGTACTTTTAACTCCTCTTAACCATTTTCGTCCACCATATATGATATTGTCATGTCTTTTAATATTCCCATACCTTTTCTCAGGATCTTCTTTAAAAAAAAAAAATGATCTTCCCCTCACAACCTTTAACCGGCCGCTTCCACTGATCCATTGAGTTCAAATGTCTTGTCTTTGTGAAGGACTTCCTAATAATCCTCTATCCCTCCTCTAAGAGAAGCCAGTCTCTCCCTCTGGTCTGTCTTCATACTTCAGCATAGAATGTAAAATACTTATGTACACTCTTCAGTTGATTAGAAGCTTCTGTGTTTGTGCCCATTTCCAGCTAGTGGGAACTAATATTAATTAAGTGACTTTCATACATTGTAGTAGAATGCAAAATTTGAGAAGACTCCCAATCTGAAAACATAGTACTAGAGTGGTATTTACCCTCTTCCATCTCTCTGCTCACACACTTTAAAAATAATCTGGGGTAATATCTTCAATATTCTAAAGTATATTGAGAAAGTTTGTTTCTCTATCTTCAGGGCAAGGTTGTAGTGATGAGATTGAAAGTTTTCTACTGTGATCCTTTGCCTCCAGGATACAGATGTAAAGATCATGAGGTCCTTTGGTCATGGTTTTGAATGTCAGTGTACTCTAACGAGTGGACTTTTGAATCCTTTGTGCTTCGTACCTTTTGCTGAGATGCAAAGGCATGCAGTCCTGGTGACTGGTTTGTCAGGCTACCAGCATTGAAAAAATAATATAGGAACTGAAGCCAAAAGCTGTGTCGTGGATACCTGAATAATTCTCCTTTTGCCATACACTTTCATCCTTAGTTATATATTTATTGTTGTTTTTTAAATTTCCCTAGCAACTAATAATATAATTTCCACAATGCATTGCTACCTTCCAAATTTACAGTACAGCAAATAAAACCGATTGCCCTGCATAATTCAGATGAAACACAGTCAACAGGAAAAAAATGTTGATATTCTTTGGAATGCAGTTGGTTTGGTAATGGACACATTTTGAGGAATTTCTAGTTTTCCTTCAAAGGAGAATTCATGTTTTTGTTCTTTCTGTAAAGGAGTTGGCTGTTGGGGTGTAGAGGAATTCTAAAAAGAGAAACAAGGCTTATGGAGACATTCTTTGGAGACAGGGCATCAACTGCAAAACAACTGTGTTTCTGTCTGACCACAACGTTTGAGTTTGAAATCATAAGAGGCTGTTTAAAGACACCTTTGCTATGAAAGGTTTTGACATTTTTTCTATCTCTAATTGTGATGACCATTACCATTCTTTCTCCCTGAGCATTTGAATTGATCATTTTAATCTCTTCAGGATCACACTAGTTAACAACAACAACAACAACAAAATCATGAGACAAAGATCCTCTTTTATTTATCTGCCGGATGGATTAGAAACAAAACAAAAATCCTCAACATTTTAAATACCTATTTGCACATTCCTGTTTTTCTGTTGTTAAGTGCAGTCAAGTTGGTTCTGAGGTGGAACAGAAAGCCTCATCTTTCTCTCATTGAGTGTCTGGTGAGCTCAGACTCCTGACCTTGTGATTTGAAGCCTAGTTGTTGTTGTTGTTAAGTACTGTTGGGTCAGTTCTATTTGTAGTGACCCTGTATATGGTTTTCAAGGAGCAGCTGGTGGACTAATCACTGACCGCACAAGGAGTCCTGCTTATCCTACACATATGCCAAATTTTGGTTCCGTTATTAGAGGGAGAAATATGAAGGAATCAGAGCAGTAAGCTTTTTAGTAGGTGACACAGAATGGGACTGGTTCATTTTGAGGACTTACCATTTGTTATTCATTATAGAATTTTCTATGGGCATAGCTGAAACTTCAGTTCATGTGGCATAGCTTTTGCCTATATGGAAGGCTTGAGATGAATTGGATGCATAATTTTCACAGTTAGAATGCTTCTTTCATAGAAAACAAACAAACAAGCTTAAAGCATAGGGTTCAGTTTTTCCAAACACAGTGGTTGGACCTTGGTCACCAGAATTATCAGTGTTTGAGGAAATTTCACATGTTTTATCCTTTTTATCCTTCTTTCAGACATAATGGAATAGGGTTACTTAGGGAAAATGCCTAGGAATCTGCATTGTATAACCCTCCAATGAAAATCTATGCATAATAAATATTAGTGTTGTGTGTTAGAGGAAAATTGTGGTCCATAGGTGTGGTGCAGTGAAGTGTTTAATACCTCTCATCTAGCCTTAGTCTTTGTAACTTCCACCCAATGACTCTTTCCCAGATGGGTCTGAATAGGAGAGGAAGAGAGAAGATACTGATAGACTGGCATGATTCTTCTGTGAATATTAATAGTGTTACTTGTAACTGTAAAACCTTGAAACTCTAGCATGGGTATAAACTGAGCCATCTGAGGAGCAGGAGGTGTGGATCTTAACCACCGTCAAAGAGCCAGGAGTGGAGTGTGTCCATTGGACCTCAAGGTTCCTGAGCATTGAACCTCCTTGACCCAAGGACAGAAAGCTGTGATGCTGGAGGAGATGCAGGGGGCAGCAGCAGCAGTGGAAACAAGAGCCACAACTTGAGACAGAGTAGCATTGGACATCCCGTCCACAGAGCTAGTAAAGCTGATTGAGTTGCAGGCCATTGGCTTGTAGAGTTGGGTGGTTACAGGCACTTAATTGGGGGAGCCAGATTTCCTGACCCATGGAGCTAGAGCCAGGTGCCTTCAGGTTGCTGAGGCTTATGGTAGAATGATGTGTCTTGTGGCCTTTTCCTGCAGCCTCAAAAGCACTTTGAAACATTAGCTCTGTCAAGAATGGCCTGCGTGCATTTGCAGAATGTGCCCTTTGGTTGTTTAAATGATGATATATTCCTGAGTATTTTTGTGTACATCACACACACAAAAAGACACAGGGAATAGAAGCAAATATTATTGAATGATGATGGATAGAGGAGATTATAATCATTGCAATGAAATGAAATATAACAGGATAAGTGCAAAACCGATGTTTTCCCATGTAAACTATCCTTAATTCTCAATAAAAGCTTAAAACAATGCTTACAATAAAGTGGCTGTCTTGACTGGAAGAACTGTGCCCTGAATATTTCTAATCTTACATTGTAACCTGTTCACTTCCCTGATAAATTCCTTAACTGTGAGTATTGTCCCTGAGTTCTGTGTGGCCATTGCGATGATTGATCAATCCCAGCTGAGTAGAGAGGGTCATGTGTTTTGCAGTAGTGTTTTCAGTAGCTGGGTTTTCAGAAGTAGAGAGGCAAGCCTTTCTTCTGAGGTACATCTGGGTGAACTTTTTGGTTAGCAGCCTAGCGTTTAACCATTTGTACTACCCAGGGACTCCAAGTATTTGCAAGTTGTTGTTAGGCCCATTGAGTCAGTTCAGGATCTCTGGAAGTCCATGTGTATCATGTAGCCCTAATCAGACAAGACTCCATTCCTGGCCAGACATTTAGACCGTGATATTGAGAAGCAACAACATTTTCTGAAACAAAAGAAGTGGCTCTTAGCATTTCTGGCTACTGGATATTCAGTCCCCAGGTGCCCCACTTAGCTTGCCATAGAAAATAAAGACGCTTCAGCCCAGTGGCAGCCGTGAGCACAGGTGCACAATTTATAAAAATAAGAGCAGTTCTATTAAAAAAAAAAAAAATCAAGCAAGAGTCAAGGAAATTTAATAAAAATGTAAATCCTCTTCCAATTGGCTCCATGTTTTCTTTTTCTTAATGAGCACCTGTCATCTGGTGAATAATGAATAATGGGCCTCAAAGAGTGGGCCAAGCAAGCAAAGAGGCCAATGGCTGGAGACCCTCTTAGGCATTTTAAAATGAACAATCCATCTAGCAAATATAATCTCATGTCAGCAATGCAGGTATAATAGTGTATTCTCTCCACCAGAAACAATATGCAAATGAATCACAAAGCAAAAAGAAACCGTATGTGCCGCTGCTGCCCTAGGTTGAATTTCCTGGAAGCAGACTCAGAGGTGGGGGGAAGTTTTATGGTGGATCCTCCAGGAAGCAGGTCCTGAATGAGAGTGAGAACAGCAGGCTTGCTCAGAGACAAAGTTGAATGAGAGACACTTGCCATCACCTCAGCTGGTCCAACTGGGAACTCTAGAGGTAGACTTGTCCTTCTGAAATGTTGAAATATTGGGTAAAGGGAGCTGAGGAGTATGTATACTCCCATCACAATCCAACCATTCAGTGTTACTGGGTGGGGCCATCCCCTTAGACCATGATAGTTTTGGATAAGGACTTAGCTGTGAGTACTCACTCAGATTGCGGGTGGTACCGGTGGGGGGTTATGCACAGGTTATGCACAAGTTCCACCACCTTTTTTTCAATCACAAAAACCCTCTGCTTGTTATTTTTGAAAGTGCACTATGCCAATATTTTTTTTACACAATATAATCTGTAACTGATTCTAGCAGAGATTGCTGAATTCAAGTGTGAGGTATACAAGAAACAAGGATCCTTTTATAGGGCCATGCTGACAAACATGTGACTAAGATGACTTCTGATCATTGGTCAAAGACAATGGCAATAAGAAGACATAATTAAACTGTGAAATAAGCAGAAAGGACATAACCTAATGGCTCCACTTCAGAGGACTGTGTAACTAGCATTATCAACTTAATAGAAATAAACACAGTTTCAGTAGCTTATTTTCCAATTACCAGGGGGACTACCCCCTCACCCCACTCAACTGTCAGTTTGTTCTACTGTGGTAGCTTTAGTTACTGTGATATTGAAAGCTATGTCACTGGTATTTTAAATAACAACAGGGTTACCCATGGTGGACAGGTTTCAGCTCAGCTTCCAGACTAAGACAGACTTATGAATGTTTAGTTATTGAAACACTAACAAACAGCAGTGGAATGCTGTCAGCACCAGAATATGGAATATTGTTGTCAGATATAGTGTTGGAAGATGAGCCCGTCAGGTTGGAAGGCACAAAAAGAACATCTTCCTTAAAATAGAGTTGATCATGATGACATGAATGGAGTAAAGCATTTGCTGATGGGGCACAACTCAAAATTAGGAGAAACACCTATAAGAATCCATTAATAATCAGAATGTGGAATGCACAAAGTATAAATCTAGGAAAATTGAAACTTGTCAAAATGATATGGAGCACATAAAGATCAGTGTTTGCAGAAATGGACTGGTATTGGCCATTTTGAATCTGAAAATCATATCATTTGCTGTGCTGGGAATGACACATTGAAGAATGGCATCACATACATAATCAAAAAGAATATTTCAAGATCTATCTTGAAGTACAATGCTGTCTATGATTGGACACTATCCGTATGACTACAAGTTTCTGCCACTGTTACTCAAATTTACACACAAACTACTAAAGCCAGCTGTGGTGAACCTGAGGAATTCTACCTACTTCTTCAGTCTGAAATCGATTAACATGCAATCAAGATCTATTGATAATGACTGGTGATTGGAATGTAAAGTTGCAAACAAATAGGAAGGATCAGTAACTGGAAAATACGGCCTTGGTGATAGGAATGATGCTGGAGATCCCATGATAGAATTTCGCAAGACCAATGACTCATTCATTGCAAATACCTTAGAAATGAGGAACATCATTGCTGACATCAGATGAATTGTGGCGGAAAGCAGAGAATACCTGAAAGATATTTACTTGTACTTTATTGACGATATAAAGGTTTTTGACTGTGTGCATCATGACAAGCTATGGATAACATTGCAAAGAATGGGTATTTCAGAACACTTAATTGTGATCATGATGTACTTGTACATAGACCAAGAGGCAGTCTTTGGAATGGAATAAGGGGACAAAGAATGGTTTAAAATCAGGAAATGTGTGCTCCTGAAGTATATTCTTTCATTCTGTATGTTGAGCAAATAATCCAATAAACTGGATTTTATGAAGAAGAACATGGTAACAGGATTAGAGGAAAACTCATTAACAAGTTCCAGTATACAGATGATACTTGTTTGCTAAAGCAGTGAAGAATTAAAATATTTACTGATGAAGATCAAAAACCCAAACCATCAATATGGGTTGCACCTCAGTGTAAATAAAAGAAAATTCCTCACCACTGGAGTAATAAATAAAATCATGATAAATGGAGAAAAGTTTGATGTTGTCAGTGACTTCATTTTTCTTGAGTCTACTATCAACTCTTATGGAAGCAGCAGTCAAGAGATCAAACAACATATTGCATTAGGCAAGTCTGCTGTCAGATCTCTTCAAAAAAGTGTTCAAGAACAAAGACGTCAGGTTTAGGACTAAGGTACGCCTGACTCAAGCCATGGTATTTTCAGTATCCACATACATGTAAAAGTTGTACAATGAATAAAGAAGACCATAGGAGAATTGATGCATTTGAGTAATGGTGTTGGAGGAGACTATTGAAAGTACCACGGACTGCCAGAATAATAAACGAATCTGTGTTGGAAGAAGTATAGCCAGAGGGCTCCTTAGAAGACAGGATGGTGAGACTTTATCTCTCATACTTGTGATTTATCAGGAGGGACCAATCCCTGGAGAAGGACATAATACTCAGTAAAGTGGATGGTTAGTGAAAGAGTGGAAGACCACCAACATGATGGATTGGCACAGTGGCAGCAGCAATGGTCTGAAGCATAACAATTGTGAGAATGGTAGAAGACCAGGCATTGTGTGTTGTTCTGTTGTGCATAGGGTCACTATGAGTCTTAACTGGCTAAAGGACACCTAGCAAGAAGTGCGGGTTACCAAAGTCCATCCAAGACTTTTCAATATGTTATTATACAATTATGATCAAAAGTAACATTTTCAGACAGTGGCAGCAGCAGTGGGCGTGTGTGCACTGTACCAGAACTGTTTTACTTAATGTCACCATTTCCACGTGTTGTTTACGTGAGTGCATTATTTGTGGAAAATCAATATCTCATCGTGAAGGGCAAATTCAGTGGCATATCCGCTCCAACTTTTTTGTCTGATTCAAGGCCAAATATTATGGAGTTCAGAGCCACAACAGGTTTGTGATCATCCTCAGTCTGTTAAATGCCCCTGACAGTCCACTGCAGTGATAATGTTAAGGAAGAGGATGATTAGAAGTAATTTGCTAAGGAATCAGGGTTGCATTTTGAGCTGGCAGCAAGTAATGAAGCAAGAATGTCAATCGACAGGTGAATCAAAGTCGGGCAGAAAGAAGGGAGGAGGAAATTTGCGCCAAAAGAAGCAATTGCTTTAATTGATGTTTGTGATGCAAGAAAGTTTGCCTGAACCAGAGGTTGTTATGAGGGAAAAAATTTTTTTCTTATGTGACCAGTGGATTGTGGTATAAAAAGTGTTGTAGGACATTTAAGGTGAATTCTCTTCACATTCCATTATTCCACAAACTTTTTTGAAACCCTTACTTATTTTCAAGTCAAGAAACAATTCTACTTCTAAATAAACTCTCAAGCTATGAATAAAGAATCCTCTGTCTTTATATTGGCTCTGGTTTTGCATATGTCTTTTTTTTTTTTACCTCTTATTCACTGATTAGTAAGGGATGCTAAGAGATTAATATATTTTATTACTCTATAAAAAAGGGGGACAAATCATCCTTGATAGAAGCAACGGGCCATGGATTTTATTCCCATTGCACTGTGCTTTGTTTAGAATGACTTGTGACCACTGCCTCCTTGAGTCTGAATTGGCATTGCCCAGAGAATGGTCCCTTTTCTAATGGGTGCCATGACTCCAAAGGGTACCTGCATCCAGGCCAAGCCTCTGAGATTATCAGCACATATGAATGGAAAAGGATCTTTATCATATAAGCCATTTCTGTGACTGTGATCTAAAACCAATAAAAATCACTGCTTTCTGTTTTGGGTGCCTTTTACTTCCTTACTCCCTTCTTTCTTCCCTCCATCCTTTCTCCCTTTCTTTCTTCCTATTTGCAAAAGATACTTTTCCTTTCTGGTCATTCAGTGTCTTCAAAGCTTCGCTTTAGCTGTCCACAGTGATGTATTGAAATTTTCAATTGCGTATGGCATTGCTTTGTGGAGGTCCATGAATATGTTTCCGAATTATACTTATCTTGAACTCTTTGTAACTATTTCAGACTGTGCAGTCAGCTGCGCACCACTGGCGTGTTTCTATTTCAGAAATTATTTCCTTCCCCTCTTCCTCCTTCCCATCCTCCTACCAAGCCC